ACTTCTTTGTTGAACACACGTGTCACGAGAGTTTCTCTAGACGAATGGGGTAAACCTTACATAAAGCCAGGACTCCCCATTGAGTGCTACCTGGTACACACCGAGGAGCGCTCACCCTCTTTCCCTGCAGCCAGACTGGAGAGGAACCAATTGACGGCACCAGGAGATGGCCAGCGATGGGGAAACCGCTAGCCAATGGGGCAACCAGAAGCCTGGATCCGAAGGCGCGATGGCAGGACTGGTCCAGTGCGAAGGGCACACTGATGCAGCCGAGAGGGCGCTGGAGGACAGGTGGTTGTTTAGCGGGGGCAAGGGCCCTGACGGATTGCCAGGATGGAGGGTCATGACAAGTTGTGACTTGGGACCCGAGACCCGGGAGCTGGAGGAACAGCTCACCTGACTGGAGGCCAAGATCGAGCAGTGGATGGACGCCGTCCAAGTGATGCTGCAGACCATACTCTGGCGGGGCAAAGCCCCTAAGGCAGAGATGCAGGCGAAGGAGGAATTGGGCGATGCCAGCAGCGGCGAGGGCACGAGCTCGAGGAGCCGTGCGGAGCCCAGACCAGAGGTCATGCAGACGGGGCCAGTGCCAAGCGAGAGGAGAGGACCCGCAACCTCAGCCAGTTTGCGGGACACCAGGCAGGCGTTCAGCGGCAGGATGGAGCCAGAGGGGTCGATGGGACATGAGGCCACGGGGAGCCACGGCGAGGGGCCCAGGACCCAGGAGCCGGAGAAGAGGCTGGACCAGCTGGAGGGGGACCTCCAGCAGTGGACAGCCATACCGGGCATGTGGCAGGCATTGCATGGCAGACCCAGAGCCCTGGCTGGGGCAGCTGCAGAGGGCGGCGCAGAAACAGGGACTGGTGCGAGGCCCCTGTCCAGGCTGGTGGCGGTTGTCAGCCTGACAGGAAGCACGACAGAGAACCAGTGGGCAGCAGAGACACCCCGGTTCAGGAGCTCGAGGAGCAAGCTCTTGGGGGGTCCCAAGCAACTAACCTATTCCCGTATGCAGGATAGGCTCCACTCGGAGATCCGGGGGAGAGCACCCAGCAGGGATGACCCGGAGGCTCTAGCAGAGTGGAGCTGGCTGATGGGGACGGCGGAAGCTGCCTGGGACCAGGGAAAACAAGAGACTTGAGCCCCGATACCAACCACGCCCGACTGCAATGAGGCAGTGCTGAAGGCGAGGTGCAAGAGCCGATGGCAGAGGCTTGAGGATGGAAAGGCCTGGCAGACTGCAGGTACTTGCTACCATTGCGGAGGAAAGGGGCACCAGATGGTGCAGTGCCCCTCGAGGCGGGGAGCCCCGACGCACTGCACAGAGGGAGGGGGCCAGCGACCTCCGGCTACAGGAACCCCCGACCGATCCCAGAAGGAGGCAGCAGCTCGCAGAGCGGCATGCAGCGGAGCTGGCTGGCTCACGAGGAAGTCCGGCTCTGCAAGGAGGGGAGAGTGAGCCAGCGGAAGACGACGAGCGGCTACGCTGAGGCGCACCCCAGATACTAATGTTTCTGAATATGAAACACATAATTATATACAACTTCAAAATTCAACCAAATCTTATTTGAGATGCTTAGAATGCAATGTATATATTTTTAAAATTCCCCAAAGTGTACTACACTTCCCAAACCATGAATCCTGCCATTCTTTAGTGTTTCTTTTAAAAGTCTTGTTTTTTCATTAAAAAGTAGTTTCCCCCCCCCAAAAGACTTATAATTTCTACCAAGTCTGGTTGCTGAAAATTACAAATATAGCATATCAGAGAAAATAAGCTCTTGCTATTGGAATATAATGCAGGATGTACAATTCATAGAGTTTCCTGCTCTTTAGTTTAATAAAATCCTCCTACAGAATGCTAAAGTTGTTCAAAAATTGTACAACCAGAAGTGAATACTACTTAATTAGTAGCTGGGGGAGGAGGAAGTGTCACAAGTATGCTAGGGTTGCCTCTTGAAATAAGAAATCACATTCATTCTCCAGAAAGTACCACGTGTGTAACATTAATTAGGTGTTTTATTCAGCATTGTTAAAAAGTTTTATTTCATCTTTTTTCACAGGGTCTTCTTAGGGCTTTGCAAGCTTTGGATGAAATACTTCAGACATCATTTAAGTGCAGCAACTCTCTGCTATTCATTAAATCAATGTTTTTTCAAACTTCCATATGAGCCTGAAAAAGATTTGCTGCTGCTGCTTTAAGAACTACATTAACTTTAATGAGTGGACTCCTTAAAGCAGCAACAGCTTTTTTTTTTAGTCAGCAGAGAAGCCTGAAACAAAGTCTTCTTTAATGTACATCAAAGAGGAGCTGAGCTTGCCCAAGTTCTGAAGTTTTCTTCTGAATTATTTTCAAAATGTGTACAACTCCACTAATTATTCCAAATGCAATGGTTTTGTAGGTTTAAATGAAAGTACATTGAGATTTCCTGTGATATAAGTGTACTTTCTATCTTTCTTTAACAGAAGACTGAGTCTGATCATTAGGCAATTTTGCCAAGGCCACTGCTTTTATATTTACCTGGCGCATTTATAAACCTAATGAGAAATTTAATTCTCTCTGAGCATGGCTTTAAAAGGACACACTTGGGTGAAAATATTAAACAAACGTTTAAGAATTTGGGTTGCAAAATATAGAGGCTAAGCAAATTCAAAAAGAAATGTCTTTCTCCTGTCATTATTATTAAATACTATTAAATATTAAATTTGTTAAGGATGAGTGATATAGCCTAAGATAATACCTCTTAGGAGGACATTTTGCACTGTAGACATGATGCATTTTTTGCCTTATTAAGGCATTAAGGTAATACAATACACATAGCCTTGGAACTTTTACTTTTGTTGTTGTTTTTGGTTCTGTACCTGCATTGCACATGTGCAGAAACATCTGCCAAGCCTTCCAGTAGTTGACCAGAAGTCTTGCAAAAGGTTTCTGTGCATGTGCTGAACATGCACAGAAATTTCTTCTGGCTTTTGGAACTTTCAGAAGTGAGGAGAAGGGAAGCAGTATAGCTGCGTTGCTGCTAGAGTGGAGAGAGTATGTGCCAGGCCCAGCCCGAGAACAACAGGGAAACAATCCAACTAAGAACAGTTCTTTATTGCTTACACCATATAGACAGAATCTTGCCAGACAAAATCTGTACTATGCTAATCTAATAGATATACTCTGGGAGAATCTAGGGAGTGGCTATCTTAAGTCTCTCCTCCTTCCGATGTGCCTGCTCTGGACTATGTTGCCTCTTGTCTCCCCCCTTTCCCTCCTGGAATGCGCTCCCTCCTTCCTGAGGGAACCCGGATCTCTACTATATTCCATCACACACACACACACACACACCCCTTCATAGATACATTCCATCACAGTGCGCACTGCTTTTGTGAAACAGCTTCACAGGAATTCTCTCTACAAACTTTCACTTAGGGGTGGCATTCATTTGAGGTTTTGCACAGGCATAGTATCTGTTCCCCACTTCTCATTATTACATATTGGAAAGTGGTTTACAATCCGCAATTACCAGACAAAAGACAAACAATAGATTAAAATTGTATAAAAATAATATATTTGGGGAAGAGGTAAGTGAACAGAGAAGAAAAGGTGGCTCCTTTTCTTCATCTGAACTAAGGCAGGACAGTCAGCAGGTGGCACAGAGTTGGGCTGGAGGAAGAAGGTAGGGCCTCAAGGATCAACTGTTTATAAGAGAAAGACCTGGTGTAGATCAGCCTTCACCTACTTGTTGCCCTCCCAAATGTCTTGAGCAACATCTTTTATTTTCTCCAGACAATACGGCCATACTGCTTGGAAATTACAGAAGTTGCAGATAAATACATGTGAAATGTCTTTCAAGCTGAAGAAAGATGGCCTGAAAAACTACTTTGTGGGGTGAAAGCCACTGCTGACCTTTGAATGGTATGTCAGGGCTACACTCCAAAAACTAGTGGGTGGGTCTAGGGCCCAAACTACAATTAATTTCATTTGTTTTCATAAGAGTTAAAAGTATTAACCTCCAGTAATGCATTTAGTAACTTCTTCATTCTGTCACATTAAAAGTTACAATTTGTTTAGAAGTTCTGGAGGGGTTCTGGAGAAGTTCTAGGGGTTGTAGCCAAGGCAACAGTTACCTTGGAGCCTCAGTTTGGGCTCACTGGTACTGTACAGATAAGCAACTTGTTTTTTGTGGCACGGTTTTGAGGATACTTGTGTGTTTAAATGTTATTATGTGGTAGAGAAATATTAAGAAACCAAAATTCTCAAACTGCAGCAGTCTAATCACAAAAGGCAAACCTCTCTGCTATGCTGTTTTTCCAGGTACCAAAAACTGGTTTACAACATGATTACTGCAAACTGGTTGTGATAAAAACAATTTTTTTTTTGCTATTTTCTTTGCTACACTGCTATTGCAATGGGTAGGATAAATGTATGCGAATTTTTTAAAAATACTTTCCTTATAAAATACATGTGCAAGGGATAAGCTAACTGCACAAAGTGGGAAGTGTGAGAGAGAAGTTAAATGCACAGTCCACCAATGGTGGAAAGGGAAGCAGACCAAGCAGAAAGCAGACAGCAAGAGGCCATGCAAGTGATGTTTTCCAGCTGCATCTTTCACCCCCCCAAAAAAGTGGATTTTTTTACCAGAGGAAGAAGGAACTAGCCTAGATTTAGTTAAAAGCTGCAAATAGCCGCATCCATTTGACCTGCAAATTTCTTCCATAGTATGTAATTTCTTTTACTTACTACTCAAAAATAAGTTTTCATTGAATCTTAATAATTCCTTACCCCAATAGCCTCAATGTTTTCTTGTCCTAACCAGGGCAGGGAGCTGGATGGGTAGGTTTAAAGCTATATTTTTAATGCTGAATTATAATACAATAAGATTTTAGTACTATGTTTGTAATGGCCCTAGACATGGTTGCTACCATTGTTTTGTATTACGCAAAACTCACAGACTACTGGAGGCTGAACCCAGGTAAATGTGGGTATATGTATTAACTTACATTTCAAACAGACGTGACAACCTTGAGTCTGTAAGTTTTGAGTTACTATTTTTTCAGAAGTTTTAAATAAAACTAGCAATCTCTGTACAATTGCAGAAAGACCAGATAGAATGTTCAAATATGAAACAAGCAGATAGCAAAATGTGAAGTACAGATACTGTGGATTCAGAAAGTCATTTCCTTCAATTTAAACTGCCAATTACAAAATACAAGTATTTATGTATACATCCATGGAGGTACACAAATATACATGTTTCTTGGAGCAATAAAAGAAAAATATTCCCACATGTAACTTTGAAATTAAAATGATGTAAATTGTTTTTGTAGCAGGTATTACTTTGTTATGGATTAATATTAATCAACATCATCATTATTAGCAATTCCTGGTCTTCTGTTGCATGGCAGCTTTTTCATGGATGATTATAATCACTGCATCAATCTGTACATAGAGAGAATGTGACATGAAATCTTACACTTGGCAAGTTCTGAATATAGACCACACATACACATATATGGCATACAAGTAGTCCTGGAGTTACGATGGCAATTGGGACTGGAATTTCTGTTGCTAAGCAATGCAGTCGTAAAGC